GCCGTAACTGGCCGTAACTGGCCATAACTGACCGTAACTGGCCGTAACTGGCCATAACTGACCGTAACTGGCCGTAACTGGCCTGGCTGTAACTGCCCGTAACTGCCCGTAACTGCCCGTAAATGCCCGTAACTGCCCGTAACTGGCTGTAGCTGGCTGTAGCTGGCCGTAACTGGCCTGGCCGTAACAATATGTCCAAGAATGTCCCATAACCTATCGATAAACTAGCTATTTGCACCATAGTACAAAACCGGCAGGTAACAGAAAAAAAAGACTGGCAGATGACAAAAGGCTTGAAGAAAGAGCAGCCATAGCGAAATGGCTTCACTTCACTCCAGCATTTGTTTCCTTGGCATTCCTCAGAGAGGCTGGTGAACATCGGCTATGAATGAATGTAGTCTAGGCCATAGTCTTTGTACATTGCATAATACATTGATGGGCTATGAATAAACGTGGTCTATACCATAGGCTATTGAGTAGTATTCAACCGCTAGCACACGGCCCCAGCCTTGCAGAAAGTTTTTTTGTTGCCACAAGCAAAACTCGGAGGCGCCGCACGTCCAGGCCCACCGTTGAAAAAAAAAAATTGGCGGCCTCCGAAGTGGTGCGGGTTTCATGCTGACACCCGCGGGCCGATATGTGGTGTACCGGTGCTTTAACATAAGCAAGTCATTGATAACCTCATAGCATAAAACTGGCACACAACAAAATAACAGTGCCTGTGAGGGACCCTCCCTTCACTCATGGAACTCTATTCGGCAGTCCGAAGACGGGCTGGTCACCAAACGCAGCATGAATGGCGTAGTTAGCAACTTAGCACGGTTACCGTCTTCCCGCCAAACAGAGCACACATTCACCATGAAGCTATACAAGCTATGTTTGCTGGTCTCCTGCTGCTCTGAAGCTCATTCATGGCCGGCAAGGACGGACTTAAAGTTTCCGTGCAACCGACCACTCTCCCCTTCTCCACCGCCTTCTGCTCACAGCAGCAGCAGCTTCGACTCCATCCCACAGGAAAAAAACAGAGGAAACAGAGAGCACTTGAAGCATACACACTGTTGTGTCGTTTTGTATTTTCTCTCCCGCAATCGCCGTTGATTCTCACCTGGATGCGGGCAACCTGCGGTGCGTGACCACTCTCGCAATCACCTACCCGTAGGGTGCTTACGCTCACACAGTCACGGAAATTCCCGTAATAGCTTATTGTCACCCAGGGCCAGGGCCAGGGTGTCACAACATCCACTAGCGATCCTTTCCCACTACAAAAGGACATGATAAAAATTTTAAAATTACATTTGGCAGAAAGCGATGCCGAGTTCTCGAATGCATGGAAAGTCGTCTTCGAGCTCGACATGGCAATAACAAATAATTTCCATCAATTTTACATCGTTGAATAACGTAGGCTGCGGTGCTCACACCATATATCTCACACCGGTGCTCCTTTAGGCTTGCCGCATAGCATTACATACGGAAAAAGAAAAAGAAAAAAACATTATTTTGCCCGTCACACGCACAGCTTGGAAAGATCTCGCTGCGAGACGCAACCAGCCTCGGTTTGATCAACTCCCACACATCAGCACTGGCCACAGTGATGACATCTGCCATCCCGTAACTATACCAACCAGCAATACTCCACATTCCATGAGCTTATTTATCCTTATGAAACCTAACTCTAAATTGTCTATACCATGCTGTGTTTCCTATATTTGTTCTGCGGCGAGCCTCCAGAGGCTGATTTGGGAGGATCTATGTGGGGTGGCTAATACCATGATCAACAGGCTCCCATTCCCCTCCTTATTCAGAGTGGCCCTACCTACTCTTCTGCACACCCCTGCTACAGCTACAACACCCACAAACGCTTACAAATGTGCAAGCTTGTACAGACACACACACACACACACACGCACACACACACACACACACACACACACAGAGAGAGAGAGAGAGAGAGAGAGAGAGAGAGAGAGAGAGAGAGAGA